CGACGTCGCTCGGCCGGCTTAGATCCCTGTAGAATAGTGTAGCAGACTTGAGCCTGATAGTTTGGGCCTTAGCTAGGCGATACGTTTGCTCCGATGATAGTTATCCTTATTTCCCCGATGTTACAACTTCAAGAGTTACGTCGGCGACACTAGTTCTGCTTCGCAATTTGAATTTGATTTTCGATTCGGTTCCAAGGACTTACATTGATTGGCTAGGTGTGGATGGCGATCCACAGACATTTATGAGAATAGATCGATTGAGACTCTTTTAGCAGCTACATTAGCACCTCAAGTCATTTCTGTGTACCCACCTTCTTTTCATCATTTAGAGCATTCCTATAGTGACCCCAAGTCATTTATGACTTGCTGGCACTGACTGTTCGGTCACCTGGTCGTTGGTTTGGATTTTGTGCAGCTTTCCGTGTTTTAGACCTTGAAGCTTGAAAATTGACTTTAGTCAACACATCATGTAAACGACCTCAGAATGGAATTCTAACAGTTCCATCACCTCCAGAATGGCCAAATTTGGCTAGTAGCATGGTTGGCATGAGTATCGAGGCCTTCGGTGCGAGTTTGGACCATTAGGTGTTTTAGCCTTTGAAATTTGGCCTAAGGTTGACTTTGGTCAACATTCTTGGAAAATGAGCTCGGATGAAAATTCTGTCAGTGCGGTTAGCCTCAACATGTCGAGTTTGGTCTAGAACGACCTTTCGTTCGACTCCCGAGTCTTCCGGACTCATTCCGAGCCCCTCGGTGGATTTTGGTTAAAATGACCTTTGGGAATAGGATCCACTTTTTATCGAGATGACCTCTGATGGAAATTCCGATTGCGCCATTGATTCCGGAATGTTGAATTTAGTAGGGTAGCATATCTATTTTATTTTTATCGGGTTCCGAACGAATTCCGAGCACCCCGTCGGAGACTTTAAAAAATAGCAAAAGCTAAAATCTGGTGCAGCCCTTTTAGCGATCAGATTTTGGGCTGTTAACGACCAGATTGTTGGACTTTTTAGCGACTAGTTTCTCCTTTTAAAAGCTCTATTTCAGCCTCATTTCTTAACTTCAAACCTTGATAACTCTCTCATTTCAAGTCCGATTCTAGTGATTCTTGGGGCTATCTTGAGTGGTTTTTCGAGGAGAACGCGTTGGCATGGTTGAAATTAGTATTTGAAACTTCGTTGGAGGTAAGAATTATTATTTAGCTGGTGCCATAGCTCACTTTTGAGCTCAATTTTTGGGAAATTTCGGAAGATGATTTCTTGGCCATTTTAGGTCCTAATTTGGTGATTCAAGAGCCTAGATTGTGGGGTTTTTCATGAGGATCATCGTGGTGTAGTTGGTTTAAGCAGTTGGACTCTTGTTTCTAGTAATTTCTTGTAAATAGCTGCTGCCATTGTTGTCCTTTTTAGTGTAACTTTGAGTTTTTCGTTGCATGTTCGTGTTGGGACTGTTTTGAGCCCCGAATTGTGTTCCAATTTGTAACACAAGTTCGGGGAGGTATTTAGGACCTATTTTTGGGGTTAATTTTGGAATTTCCAATGCAGGTCCCACTTCTCCCGTTTTGACCCCAAAATTGGTCCGTCTCCATTTCTTGTGATTTTAGTGTCTAAACGATCGTAATAACTTTGTGACTATATTTTTGATAGCGTGGCAGCGTTTCGAGACCGTTGGAAATGGGAAAGCTCCGAATAAGTTATTTTGGAGCGCGCGTGATCGGCCTACAGGTAGGCTACGGCCTCCCTCTCTTAGATTGAGCTCGAGCATCTGAATTCTTGTTGATTAGTTGGGATTTTAGTAGGGTAGGTATTGAATCATGCATAGGTGTTTAGAAATCATGTTTTCGGCCTATTTCAGGAATTATCGGGTAACTGTGAGCATGTTATGTGTTATTAATTGACCCTATTTTCTATGTGGAGTACATGTATGCTTGATTACTATTTATTGAAGCATGTTGGGCCTTATTTTAGGTTTGACTAGGGCTTGCCTTAGAAATACGTGATTCGGAACTAATAGGCCTTAGTTTTGCCCCGACGTCGCTCGACCGACTTAGATCCATATAGATTGGTGTAGCAGACTTGAGTCTGATAGTTTGGGCCTTATCTAGGTGAAACACTTACTCCGATGATAGTTATCGTTATCTCTTCGATGCTATGGCTTCATGAGTTATGTCGGCGAAACTGGGTTCCGCTTCGCGATTTGAAGTTGGTTTTCGATTCGGTTCCAAGGACTTACACTGATTGGCTAAGTGTGGACGGCGTTCCACGGACATTTATGATCATGGATCGATTAGGACTCTTTCAGCAGCTACATTGGCACCTTTTTGGGCATCCGGATTTGAGCTCTAGCCTTGACCTCATTGATAGTTTTGAAGAGCATCCGGTTCAATGTCCGGCCTCGATCACCCAAATACTTATTTAGAGCATCCAGTTAGAGGTCCGGCCTCAGTTACTTGATACTTGTGATTGGTTTCTTGGGTACTTCTGGTGAGCATCCGATTCGAGGTCCGGTCTCCGTACTGTCAGATTTTACTAATTGGGGTTGAGATTATGATTCGTGTTCTCCGTTCTTGGGTTCTCATATGCAATTCTCTTTAGTTATAGTTATTCTGTGTACTCTTTGGGGTTATGGGGGTCCGTTTGGGTTTTTATTTAAACTTGAATACGAGTGTACCTTCTGGGCTTACGGGGTCCAGTTAGGTGTAGTTAGCTTATAGATTACTTTAGTTAGTTCTTTGTACACTCGTGTGCATTCCCTTGATAGTTGG